TTGGGAAGTGTTGTGAAGTTTCGATGCATGGTTCAAAGCGTAGGTCGTCGGGCTTCGTGTGTTATAGGCGGTCTCGACTCTTGAAATTGCTTCGGAATTCCTCAGATTAGTTTACTAAATGGCTAATACCACCTATCGTTAACATTTTGACATTTTATTAAATATCTATACAGTGCGTGCCAATTTGATATGCAACTGTGAAAAGTTAATAAGAATCGATCTGAAACTACACAGTATAATAAATGTAAACCTTGCTATGCACATGTGGTTCGAGACTGTGATAGTGACAACTTGTTCACTATCATTAATCTCGGGAAATAACAACATACTGTGCACTGTACATATATGTTGGGATTTGGTGATGGTGTGGTAGGTGCTGAGCCCGGAGCCGTACGTTCCTGTGTGGAAGGATGGGGGAGCGGAGACACGTTGTGGCATGTAGTAATGTACTTGTTCATCGTTCTAGTGATGTACGTGTTCTAGTCGAAGCTAGTGATGATATATTAATTTTATATAACATATTTATTGGAGTTGCACCCGTGATATGAAAAATATCGCATACGATGTACTCCCGTATATGGTGAGTATTATGATTCGTTTAAGGGGAAAATATGCATTTGAGAAAACATGTTTCGTTGTAGTATAAAATTCTGGAGAAAGTCTTATTGGTTTCTGTACACTTCTAATCGAATTCGTATCATTAGTAAGGAAAGAAAGTTCTGAGTTCAGCTGAGGAAAGCAAACATATTTTTTCTCCACAGCTGGTTTGTATTTGATTTGATGTAGGTATCGCGAGGAAGAGATGGTGGAGGGCGATCTGTGTTGGGGGAGGAGAGAATTTGAAATGGTAATACCTGGGGATCGAACCTGGGTGTTTGGATAGAGAGCGCGGCGCGTTACCAATTGGACTGATGGGTGGATGGAGAGTAGTGAAGGTTGGTTTTAGAGGCAAGTTTTCCGCTGTGTGAGCGTTCCGGGAGAGACGAGTTGGACGAGGGGGAGTACGAATGATCAGACGTAGGCTGGTCTGTGCTGGGGCATTCAGTTGGGTGTTTGTAGAATATATGACCTTGTTGAAATCACAGGGTGACGAGCAAGGCATCGTTTTGTTGTCTATGGAATTGTAATTACACTAACAATGTGGAGATAAAACGGTTCGGGGTTATCAGAGCCAGGAAAAGAGATTTCGCTTTTGCAGTGAACGGTTTCACTAGCTCAGCAGGTTAAGTTTCTTGGTTGTCATCCAGAGCACCCAGGTTCGAACTCCACGCTAGACACTATATTGCGTATAGTGGAGTCGCACTCTGCAGTAGCCGTGGAATATGTTTTTACTAGTGTTTTTCATATCACTAGGGTGAAACTGCAGTGTTAATATTTCAGCGAGCACTCGAAGATGTAGTAGTCAATTTTCGGATTCACCTGAGAGGAAAATACGTTACGAATTGCTAGTGGTGAATTTATGGTTTATTCCACAGATTTGTATGTTGAGCATTCGGATTTGTTTTAGGTTTACAGAGGAAGTTGAGGCTGGGATGGTGATTGGGAGGAACTGCGGGAGATGTAGAAAATTAGAAAATATTTATATTTTCGAAAAATTGTAGTTCCCGAAATGTTTTTCCAATTCACATTATATCGCGCGAATAACACGTTTTTCACATGGAGTATTACGCCGTTTTACGTATAACGGGTGAAATTTCTATGTTCATTTATTTATTATTATGAAATTCACCGAATTTTTCATATTCACCTTATTGGTTATTGTTTACAATGTAATTTATCAAGTAGTTTGATTGTTTATGAAACTTAATTTTTTTAAATTTCCCCTAATTTTTTATATTCACCGTGTTGGCAGATTCGAAGGGAAAAGAGGCAATTGTGAAGGTTTACAACGTAAAAGATATGGAGAAGGATGCTATGAAGTTACACGAGGTGATAGTGGAGTTAGCGCGCGCCCAGTTGATCGATTATGGTTGTGTAGCAGGTGGTCGAGGTGGTGGGAATATTGGATGGTTGTATGGTGAAGGAGGCCTCTTATGGGGAGGGGAGGAGTGGTCTGGACACTATCACTGAGGAAGGGAATGGTGACAGGGGTTATTGTTGTTGTTGTTGTTGTTGTTGTTGTTGTACATGTTGTTGTTATACATGTTGTTGTTGTACATGTTGTACATGTTGTTGTTGTTGTTGTACATGTTGTTGTTATACATGTTGTTGTTGTACATGTTGTTGTTGTTGTTGTTGTACATGTTGTTGTTATACATGTTGTTGTTGTTGTACACGTTGTTGTTGTTGTACATGTTGTTGTTGTACATGTTGTTGTTGTTGTTGTTGTACATGTTGTTGTTGTTGTACATGTTGTTGTTGTTGTACATGTTGTTGTTGTTGTTGTACATGTTGTTGTTGTTGTTGT